GCCACAACGAAATTATTGAGTCCTCAAAACTAGTTACACAGAATATTATGACGGTAATAGTTTATTATGTGATGTTCATGCTATTATGTTTGTATAAATGATATCTTATTATCAGTTATCTCTGATACGAATACGAGTTTTACGATGGGTGTGAGTTAACAAGGTGTAAAGAAACAAAAAAGTTTGTAAACATGATGCACTCTTTTTTACAAAAATCTTTTTGATACCTTTTTGTAAGCTGACTCCGACTATCCAAATCCAATAAATGTTAAATGGTTTTTTTTGTTGTTATTATTATATTGGTATATTAAACGATATTTAATATAATTTCGATGTGATCTCAATTCGATTGTATCGAAAGTTGATGACTTTCGATACAGATACAGTTGAATGTTAAACAATCTTACAGTGTGCAGGCGGCCTATCGTGCGCATACGCCGCCGCGACGCAGACCGCAGGTCCAAGGCTATCCGTATTTTGTTCCGCGCGATTCGCTGTGACGATGTAACGAGCCGTGCCGTAGTATGTCGTTATCTAAGCATGGCCACGACGCGACGATACGGCAGCATGGCTTGTCTCAATTTTGATATTTATATTTTTTTGCAACTTGTAATGGTAAATAAGCTGATGGTATATGAGGATAGAATGTGGTAGCCGTCATTTATAAATAACAACACTATGGTATTAAATACTACACTATAAAGACTATAGTGCCGATTGAACATTATCATTTCTGAGGATTAAGTTATGTTTCTATATCTGTTTTCTTGTCATGTCTGATCTTTCGAACTATATTGATAATACAAAACGATTTGCATTCGAAATTAAAATACCTAGAGGAATTAAAAACATACAGTTGCATCATTGAATGACAAAATATCCAATGTAAATTGGTGATCACATAGCCCAACTATGTTAAAATAGATTGAGAATTAGAGTAATATATCGCCTATATTTTGTCTCGCTTCAACATTACAAGGTCACTGCAACTACACCAATAAAACGCCTGATGAAAATAAGGAAGTGAATATAAATTTTCCATAGCGAAAAAATGAAAAGGGTAAATACAAAAAATCTAAGATTATTGATGATTGTATGACAAACACGTGCTATACACATGTACATAAGTACATAACACAATGAACGTATATAAGTTTGGTGTATATATAAATATTTTTATTTCGCAATTTAGCTCTTATTACAATGAGAATAAGGTTTAAAATAGATATAATATTTACACAACGGGAAATTTATTAATAGGTCCCCCACAAATTACAATTTGTTTAAGTAATTATAAATATTATTTCATTTGTGGTGAACTTTATGGCTGGAAATCTTGAATTGCTACGATTAATGTAGGTAGAACTACATCGATCAATTAATTACATAAAACTTAATACAATAGAGAAAAAATGTGAACTTTAGTTTGAAGTCCGATTAATCAAGGTCAACTACATAGGTACCTATTTAATTAATTATATTGTAATGGTGCAAATGAAAAAAAAAAAAACTATTCAATTCAATAATAAGCATATGTCATGAACTTAGTATTTAAACGAAAAGTTTGTTTCAATTCGTATTATTTTTTAAAACAATTACGTAGTTAATTTTGAAACGATTTTCATATTTTTTGCTCTCATTTTGGTACCGTTTTAATTTTGTGACGATTGAAGCTGTTGTTTATATTTATTGAGCAAAAAATAGCTTGTTGTGAAGCAAAATCTATAGATACACGATTCCGCGTTCCAAATTTAAATATTATCAATGTCTTTGTCTAAATTTTTATGTTTAAGTTTTAAATTGTCTACGAAACATCTCGTTGTTCATTGGTGGAGTGCATTCATAATTAATTAATAATTTTTTTGTGGAGCAAAATGTCCTAGTTCTGTTTGGACATATTTCTAAATGCGATTACACCAGGAAACAAAGCCGCATAGAAACAAGCCAGTTTGTTGTATGTCAATGTCAACTATGCGGGCGTATTCGAGGACAAGCTTAGCATACGAACGGACAAGTTATGTTATACGAGTATCTGTGGTTTTAACACTAGAAGCCATTTGGCGCGGTTTCAGATATAACATAAAGGGCTTATGACTCAACAAACAGCAGTATTGTCAACAGATACTTGTATAGGAAGTATGGATGCGGTTGTCGACCTTGAAATATTTTGAATGTTGTAACAGCCAAATGTCGAGAGGTGACTAGATCGTACATGTAGCGCCATCTCTTACTGTAACTGAGAACTATAAGTAGTGATCAATTTTGCCTATTATTATAATGTTTGTTATTATTGAATGTATAGTAAAGTGATTGAATGCGGAGTGAATATGCATGTATATAAAAGGTTGTTTTGAAATTAAGTAAATTTCTAATTTAAGCTGTAAAAATAAACTTAATTGTTATAACAATAATAGTCTTTATTATTAGGAAATGACATTGTTTATATTTTAATGTAAAAGTAAATTAATATAACTAAATATTTTTCTTTTGTAAAATGTATTTTTTTATCATTTTAGAATAACTGTGTTATTTATTCAAATTAATATTGTGATACTAAAATTATTCGAATATTGTAATAATAATAAAACCAGCCAAGTCGTAGATATCTGTTACGCATCATGAAAAGCATGCTGATTTGATTATTTTATTTTTTAATTACATTTTATTAGAAAGCGCAGAATTCTGGGCAAATACTTGCTATAAATATCCAAGCAAGTTATACATAACTATATATAATATAGAAGAATTTAGCTTTGGACTATTCTTTTGTTTTAGATATATTTCAAATAACCCAACGGAATATAAGGAATGTTTCCAGCTACAGCAAAAACATGGGGACCCTACTCCGCCATAGAATTTGCGAATTAGTTCTTGGAATTGGTCAGTGACCAGAGATCGTTGTGGCCTTGACTTGTGTTTATTTATTTTTTACTAGCGAATGACCGCAGATTCTAAAAGTGCCAGTGTACTCATACCTAATACGATTCTAGAACGTTTTACATTATGCAATTTATCTAAAAGACAGTTTTTTTTTATTAAAGACCAAATCAAAGAAAGAATACAACAAAAAAATTAAATAATTGAGGCAGAGAAAAGAATTTTAGAGGAAACGGAACAAAGAGAGTGAGGGACCCATAATAACATCAAACAAGACTGAAAGGTTGCCGCAAAAATACAAAGATTACGATTTGCTTATTTAAGAAGAAGCCCCACGCAGCCACACCATCCACACTTTCATACGAATTTAAACCCAGGCACAGCCATGAAAGCATAAAAATTTAATAATTTTCTGCGATATTTTAAATCCCTTGATTTATCAGCATTTATTTTAATCAATTATGAACTATTAGGCTTGATTCATAGATTTATTTTTTATTTTTTATCGACCACGAGATTCCAATTAGTCCCGGCTAAACTCACTTTTTTTGTGTCTACCTACATAGTACGCGGAAGTGAAGCTGTTATTTGATCCAATAAACCTATTGGAATGAAAATCGGCTTTATTTATAATTTAAATTATTAGCTATAAAGAAAATTCCATTGATAACCGTTCAGTCGACACGTGTTTCCCACGCAAACTGTGACGATTTGTTTTTATAGTTCGCCTTTGCTTTTTTAGATTATAATTTCAGTTAATTAACCGTCACTTATAACTTTATTCAGATAATAGGTAACAATAATTTTAAAAAGAGATACTTCCGTTGTATCTTTGAAAGTGAAAACTGAACCGAAACGCTTGGGGCTCTTAATGATTTAATTTTTGTCTTGTTCGTTTCACCTTTTGTTCTCTCTCTCTCTATTTTTTCATTTAAGAGATTCCTCTTATTGGAGCAACTCATTCGTGCATTCTGTTCCAGCCAGCTCTATTCCGGACTATATCTTTAATCTCTCTCTTTCTAGTTTTTCTTTTCTATTTTTCCTTCTAGTATGTTCCTTAAAAATTCTCTTGTCCTATAACTTGGCCCTTTTCGTTAAGACGCTTAATTTAATTTTTTATTATTTTGTAAGTAAAAATTCAAATCTTTAACTGAAGCTATGTGTAATATTTATATATTTTAAAATAGAAAAAAAAATATATATTTAGAAGTAGGTTAACGATGCCTAGCGCAGTTAAACATAAAAATTAAATCATAACCTATTACCGTAAGGATGGTCCACCATCGTTATATTTATATATTTCGTGGAATGAAACCTTCCTGGGTCCACGAAACGCATTTACCTTGACTTTTGTTTATTATGTCGCGTGGGACGGCGGCGCTGTGTGCGTGTGCCTTTAATAAATTCATTCCTATTAAAATAGATTTTAAAACGTTTGAGAATAACTCGTGAACGCAATGATTACAAAGGGATCTTCACAAGACTGCAATACTTTTATCTATAAATAAAGTACAGAGTGACTCAACACAGCCGAGTCGAATTTGCTGAAGATAAATAATGAAAACAGACAGTAGACAGTTTTTGTAATATGAACACGAGCCACAATGAGAGGGATTTTTCGATATCCTCCTTAATGAGGGAGAGACCTAGACATATTTATGTCTGAAATTTAGTCTAAGCTAAATTGATTAGGTCTGTCAATATTCTCCAATATTTAATATAAATTCAATGATTTATTTCTCACCGTTACTAAAGAAATTTGTTCATGTAACAGCGGTAGGTTTTCTAACGTAGGTACGCGTAACTAGGTTGAATTCTCGCTTCGGCAGAATGTGGGCATATCGAATATTAAATTCAATACAACGAGAACAATAGACTAATCTCTGTAACTGCATCATCAGAAATAAGTCGTGAGCATATTTATGCGAAAATCTACACCTGTTTTACTAGTCATCAGGTTCCATATCTCTAATGGTATTATATTTGTTGAAAAAAAAAATAGGATACATATTCTTTTACCAGAAACAAATAAACACAAACTTAACTCGCGAGTAACTGTAGTAAGAGTCAATTACTGTCTAATCGACAAATTGTTATAAATATTTCTTTTTTCATCATTCCAGGTCGCCAATTCAAAGCCCACAAGGTAATACTGGCCGCTTGCAGCAAACACTTTCAAGAATTGTTTGACACTGCACCTCCGAGCCATGCGGGCGCGTGCTACGTCATCCTGGAGGCCACATCTGCGGACAACATGCAGGCTCTCCTCGAGTTCATGTACAAAGGAGAGGTGCACGTCAGTCAAGACGCGCTTTCCAGTTTTCTTAAGAGTGGAGAGAATTTACAAGTAAGATTTTTTTTATGCTTACCAGAATGGCTGGCTAGTAAATTAATGGTTCAACTTCGAGTTATTACTAACGCCTATAGATATGAACAGCATAGGACTGTATCCCATAGATATCATACAATAAAATACGAGGCCCTTAATACTCCCCATATGACACCATTGCTGAGAACTAAAATGTTATGCCTATCTGCTCTGTTTCATAGCTATATTTAGTTTTTCAAACTAAAATACAACCATAAAAAAATATACGAGTTCACTTGAGAACCTCTTTAATTTTTAGTCGATTTATAATATCTTCTCGGCTGTAATGGTATAGAAAAGACAATGATTCCCGGGCCAAATAGTAATCTCTCATTTCTTTAGTTAAACTGGATCTTGAAAACTTTGGAACAAGTTATGAAAGTGTGATATTAAAGTTTAACACAAAAGGTTATGTAACTTTTTATGTAAACAAACGAGGTATATATCATTACTTTATGACTAATAAAGGCTGAATGCTACGGCCTATAGCAAAAACTGGATCCACGTCGAAAGTTGCCTCTTCACCGCACAATTTCGCACTATTTGCTTTTCTAAAATTATATTATTCATTAACTTTTTTTATTATATGTTATGTGATAAAACGAAATATCGGTCTATTTTTATAAAACTCTGACTTTAAATTATAAATGTAGTTATGACTAGTAAAAGAAATACCTAACAAGAGAAATAATATACCTCGATATTTTAATACCAAATTGAAATTACGTGATAAAATTACTTTTCAATTCACAACTGGTACAAGTTTAAAATATTATTATGATTTTTATAGTTTGTTCAAGTGTCCGCTATCCAATGGTATCGTACAATATTGGTGTTCAATGCTATTATGTATTTCTTAACAAATACTCTTTTCAGGTCAAAGGCCTATCAATGGAAATGTCCCAAGATGCTTGGGTGAAACAACAAACGCAGCAGTCATCAGGGGATCGTCACCAGACACGTATAAAGACAAGCCCGGTGTCCGGGTCAGGGAATTGTGAAGTGCAAGAATCTGCCCCTCCACAGTCTCACACAGCTACATTCGCACCCATTATACCTCAATATGGAATGCCATTGCACACTGGTAGCGGCAGTATGGGTCGGTACGCACCGCCAGCGCATCTGCCACTGCATCCCACTTCTCACCGCAGACCGGCGCCTCCAAAACCATCGCCGTCTCAAAGCCCACACGCTAGAAATTATAGGTAACGTTTCTATTATAATTATAGATTTAGAGATTTCAGAGTTCTGTTATATAAGTCATCCTATTTAAAATTACATTTATAAGTCATCTGATTCTAAAGACGAATGAAACAAGCCAATGAATACAGAAAATGCAGGCGCTGCAGTTTATCCTTTAAATCGTGAAAAATATGTCCCTCTGTAATAATTAAAATTGAAAAATAAGTCAAGTGTTTGTTATCAAATGACAATAATTTCAGCCTTAATCGCATTTCAAATGTGCAGCTTCTAAAGATTTTTTTGTGAGAAATCGATATAATTTGTAATAATATAACTTTTTCTGTAATTGCTTGCCAGGAATTAAACAAAGCTATTTCATTAATAACCTTTAATGCATTAAATTTTAGGCAAAGTTCGTCATCTTCACATTGTGGTAGTGTCGCCGATGAGCCAGATACACGGTCATCACCTGGTGCGGGGCAACGGTACGAGGAAAATCAAGCAGATTGTACTTCTACTCTTGGAAATCCGATTAAGAATAATGGATACGAACGCAGCGCCTCAGCCAATGACGAAATGATAGATCGCTTGTCTAGTGAACAGGGTGCCGAAGGTTGGTAATACTCCGTAATAATTAAAATCTGCTGATCGATCTAGCATGATAAGAAGGGCAATCTACGATATATAACATACGACAAGTAATTGATTTATAGGCATAGGTACATTAATTTTGGTAAACAAATTTTATAACAAGTCATGCTTTTTATACACTACAATACAAACTTTTAAATATTAGTTTAATATATTGCAGTGTAAACGTTCAACAAACGATTTGAATACTGTGAAGCAGGGTTTCTCAAATTTATAGCTTCACAAACTCCTATTTCTTTTTACATCACGGCGAACCCCTTAAAAACTGACTATTGTAGAATAAATGTGAAATTTTATAAAAAAAAAAGTACAAAAGAGCAATAGATAAATGTTATTTCTGTTACCTAGTGAGTAAATACTAAATTTGAGTTGATGTAGTGTAATGTGTATTCTTCTTTTTTAGTAGAAGTGGTATCGATTGTTGGAGAAATTTTGCTTAATTTCAATCTCGATTCAGATTCAGCGTTCAGTCGATATCTGTATTCCGCACCGAGCACAGTTTTATTTTAATTGCTTAGTCGCGTGTGCACCGTCATTCTTGTTACACGTGCCAATCAGCTAAGCTGCCATCCCATATGTATCTCATAAGATTACCTGATATACCCCAAATGGTATGGGTACCCCACTTTGGAAAAATCCTGCTCTAAAGAATTGGTAAGATCAAGATAAACAAAAATATACTCTATCATTTTCAGATCTACGAGTAAAGAACGAGAACGATTACCACACAACTGGGTACAACAATTCCCCGCCACCGCCAGCCTCAATATCAACCACGAATTACCACGATAAACCGCTCGCAACGTCACCCATACCGCCCAAACCAAGCCCCGAAAATATATGGCCAGCGAAAATGATCACGAGCAAATCAGGCGGTATTGCTACTGCTGACGGTGAGATTATTTTTATTTATAAAGATCGTTTTTATCTTCATTTATTTAGTATTTTATTTAGATTGATGTAAGTATATTTATATGGTCGCTTTTCATCACATCTATTCAGCCCTTTATTTTCAACTATATAAAGGTCTCTGTAAATATTTTTAAAAATTTTCGCTATATTCTAGCGAAAATGTTTATTTCCTAAAATTCTAAATTTATCTATAGATTTGGAATAACAAGAATATCTATGCATGAATCTATCTATGTACGTTGAGTACAATATAATAACGCGTTCCGGGTATTGTTGGAGCTGTCTCGATTTTGCAGTACATCGAAAATATTTGCAGAAATGCATGTGGATTGTTTCTACAACATTATTCGTATACGATCGGTGTCCTTGCTCTACAGAGTACGGCCCAGCCCCAACTGCATCTTGGCCACTTTGATGATTAGGCTGGATTTTTTTTTTAAAGCAATGCAGAAGTGAATAGAAAACTATAAGTTAAATTTATAATTGCAAACTTACGGTTTTCCATTTCCATTTATTAGCTTTTTATTTTCTCAATTTGATTGCACGTTTGTTACATTATCACTTCAACTTATTCGTCCGCTTAAAGTTTATAACTCTTCTTCATTTTGCGTCACAAAATAAAGTTCTGAGTTAATATGCACTAACCAAGGTCTCTCACTGGGTTGGAGAATGCATTGTAAGTAAATCGGATCGACAGCTTTATTGCCATTTCAGGCCGACTTTTTTGTGCCCATTTTGGAAACCATCTTGGTTAATTACTGATAAATTCGTCACGATGATTCAATAGACTTAACTTCATACTTATCATCCCTCATTGATAGCCCATAAATGATAGTTAATAGCGGAGTAACCGTTCTATTTTTATTCATTAATAAAAGCAGAAGCTCGATTCTCGTATAAACACTGTTTAAATATCGAAACAATTTGATGTTATTACAACTTTAGAATCCATCTAAGAGTACAAATAATTTTAATTAATAATGAGCCAGTATGATAACATTTTGGTTGTCATTATGAGAATCAAGCCACGGTATCATCAGTGTTTGCTTTTGTTTCAATTTATATATAAAATTTAAACTATATCCTAATCATTATGCTCGTATCCTTGATCTTTACCTTAAACATTGCATAAACAATCATTATCTCAAAACAAGCCACACAACGCAGCTTACGTAAATTAATTTGTTTACACGGTTTCATCTAATAGGTATTTTTAAATATGTTGTTAAGCTAAAAAAATATATAAAAATATATATTAATTAATATTTAATCTTCTGATATGACATTAATGAACTTTTGTAAAGAAAGGTTTCAAAGTAAATAGTCCTTATGGATAATTTTGTAAAGTATTTTGGGCACAATATCTCTAGTCCACCAATTTTTAGTATAGCCTAATATTATAATTTAAATTTAGAATATTATTGCTTACATCTATTCAAATTTGGAATTCCAGGTAAAAAACTAAAATGTCCATATTGCGAGAGACTCTACGGATATGAGACGAACCTGCGAGCTCACATCAGACAGCGGCATCAGGGCATCAGGGTGCCGTGTCCGCACTGCTCGCGCACATTCACGCGCAACAACACGGTGCGGCGTCACATCGCGCGTGAACATCGCCATCAGGTCACCCCCCACCTTCCCCAAGGCCCTCTCCCAAACCATACGCAGTAAAATCCCGCGAATACGCAAATATTCAATCCTACTTTCAACCAAACTACCTCTGCTCTTTTTGGCCGGCGCGGGCCACTTTTCTACGGAAGATTCAAAGTTCCATTTTCAAATTTTTAACGACAACCGTTTAAAAATTTAAACATGGAAGGAACGTGAGTATTTCCAGTATTTTGGTGGTGTATTCACTTGGTAGACTCATTTGAAAGCAAGTGGCCCTCGCCGCGTCCTGAACTGTAACATGCGTACAATAAATTACCTCGTTGATATAATTATGTAACCAGTAATCTACCTCAGAAATTGATCTTAAGATTTTTTAAGGTTTTGAACTTGTGCGATAATTGTTACTTAATTTAAATATTCAAGTGTGACTTCGAATGGTTGCTCAGTGCTCGTCTCTTTCTGGTACTATGTTTTAAAAATATTGTACCTAGTATTGCACCCTCATCGCGTTAACGTACCTTAATTTTTTGCAAAGTTTTAATATGTCCAGTTGACTGTGAGATAAAGTTACCTTGTATAGACGGTTTGTTTTTAGCTCTCCGTGGAGTATGACGATATAGCTTATATTATATTACGTGAGCTAGGGAATCTTAGAAAAGATGTTGAGACTGATGGTCATAGGCTAAGTGTATGTAAATAATAGGAGAATATTGTATATCGCCTTGGCCTAGGTTGAGACACGCTGAATTTGCATTGTGGCAAATCCTCACAATACCTCATGTTTTTACAGTTTTTTTTTATATATTATAATTATATACATATTTCTCGAAACAATAGATTAAATACCAGTTTTAGTTGCATAATTAAGCACATCTGTGATAGAATACGAAACAGGCTATATATTTTAAATAATTTGCCACATTGACGTTTTTTTGGGTGAAATAAGAAGGTGCGGGGAAACAGGATATGGAGTTTCAACTGTTTTTTACTGTACAGTGAGTACGAACGGTTTTAATTTTGTACAAAGTACAACTTTGCCCTAGGTACATAAGTAGTTAGGTAAACAAAACGTGTTATTAAAAATATTGCATGTGTGATTCGATGCATGAATGTGTTAAACAATCCATTTCTGTCGTTCGTAACAGGCTCGCCTGCACGGATGTTACTGTTGTGACCAAATAATTATGTTTCAATGGGATGGTGTCGATATTAACATTCCGTTTTAACTTTTTTTTTGTCGTAGCGTAGAAGCCCACTTACTACTTCTATATTCCTAGTCATTTCAAGTGCAACCAGTTGAGATTTTAAATGGAAATAAATATTTAAATATTAATGGCCGCCGTCGGTGTCGCTGTATTATATTTTGTTGAGATGTCGCCGCTGGCGGCCGCGTTGGTACTTGAAGTTAAACACAGCTGCAATAAAGGTCTTGTTAACACGAAGCGGATGGGACAGTGCCAAATATCCTCAATTTTAAGTTCACATCTATTACTTATTTATTATTATTATTTTTTTAATTCTTTTTTGTTAAGTGTGAATGTAGCGACTGTGTGTTATATTCCTGATATTTAGGAATAGGTTGCATTCATATTTATTATTATATTTATATTTTAGGGTACATCAATTGAATATATTTATGACGATGCCCTGTAAAGGCTCAGTGACTTTGTTTATAAAATAGATTTTGTTGCCCGTACCATTTGGAAGACAGCGTTTTAGTTATCTTTTAATGGTGACAGGATTACTCGTTTTTATTAATTATAGAGTTCAGATTTATTATGGACCTTTCGCCTATTGTCCCTGTAGTATCATCGATGGTGCGCGTTGCCCGCGTTATTGCGGGCAGCGTGTCAAATAAAGTGTAAAATACCTAATAGACGCTATACACAATGTACCTATTTGTCGATATATATCAGAGATATTTTTTTAAAGACAGGCTATCTACATCTATTTTATACAGTATATTAAATATTACCTCAAAGAAATATTTCGATACGAGTTATTAAATAAGTAAATCTGCATTGATTTCGATTCGAGATTTAGCTTGGGTTTACGGGAAGTTTCTCTAAAATGGCGGGAGTTCACAGGCGCCATGCTGTCCTATCTACTTTTTTATTTACAGATTAATTATTTTTTCCCCCCAAAATGCATGCATGTGGCACGTCTGTTTGCAGTGTGGGATTTTCGGATTAGAAAAAAAAAACCGAAACGTCATCGAAGCGTACTGAGAGTAATTAAAAATATTGTGTTTTATTTTTAAATAAAAAACTGATAGTGTAAATAAAAAAAAATTGAATTGTTTTCGCGCGGTTTTCAATTTTCTTTTGTCTGTGACCTCTTTGGATTCGATAGGGTGGTTTATTGTCGTCGAATTATTATCCGATGTTTCCGACTAACGTGCACTGGTGTGGTTACCGTACAGTTGTCTATACAGTTATGTGTATAACATGGATAGAAATTGGCTTTTTCTATGAATATTGCTTGGATAGTTTACATGCAACATCTATGAGCGCAGTGCCTTTTATGTCTAGTTGGAAATAGTAGGTCGGGAGTGAATGTTGTTTGATAAAAATTCATTGTTCGTAAAATTTACGTTGACCGAGTCCGTAATAATTGATTATTGTAAAAATATTATGTTTCATAATTATTGGCATTCTTTCTATAAGTGTAATTGTTAAGACAAAATGTTTTGCTATTTCAATTTTCGAATTGTTAACATTTACGTTTTATTATTATTGAAGAGAAGAAAAAAAATAATAATAATGAAGAATTGAAAATTATTGTTCTATATTTTGTCTTTTCGTTTCTTATGAATTATAAATTCATACTTGTGATTTCTTTTTGACATTTAATGTTTATGTGATATGTACCTAAAAGAGAATTGCGTTAATGCATCACATTTTTAGCTTTTTTTTTTAATATACATATATATATATATATATATATATAAATTTCGGTTAAGTGTAACGAGGCGATGCCTACGACGATTATGAACGATTATCGACGACATAGGTTCGTTGAAATCAGTGGATTTGCTTCTTTCTAAATTTTATAAGGTACAAATTTTAGATTACATTAACACTCGTCAATTTAATAAATATGTTTGTGTAGTTGATTTTCTTTGTATAATTGTAATATCAGGTGATGAAATTGTGTACAAAAAATAAATGAATAAATAAATACAGAATACTTTACATTGGGATATTGAATAACGTGTCTAAATTAAGTTGAAACATTGTTAAAGCTAACTAGCGGACAAGTTATTAGTAGTCCCTAATAGTTGTAATGTATTTGATGTGATAGGTAAATCACATTTAGTCGGTGTACTGCAATTACTACTCCAAAGACTCGGGCCGATCTCAACTTTTGTGTCGGTAATTCTGTAAGGAAGGCAAACATAGATATGGAAAATATTGGATCAGACATAATACTAATGAAACCAACTCCAATGAAGTGATCTTTGAAGGACGGGCCAAAGACACAGTAAGCAAATTATATTTTACAAACAAAATTCATTGTTGCAATGTTCTCATTAGTTTTGCTGGATCAAAACTGTATTCACGCATTTTTTTTTTATGTATTTTAGATTATAGTATGGGTTTTAATGATAGGTCTCTTTTGTTAGTTAAGTTCTTTCTTCTTTATTTTTTTTTTTAAATATCGCGAAATGTCGTGATGGTAAAGCCAAAGATTGTTACGGGTACGGTGACCCTCTGCCGTCACATGATGGGCTTTGTGATGACACCACATTCCACTATTGTTTAGTGACAAAATTACACAATACATTTTCGCTGGTCGAGCATTTGGCAAAATCGAAATTTTAAAATAAAAAAAAAAAAATGTTGGAATGTAGTCTCATGCGTGGCCCTTTAGTATATTATAAGTTTATCTACCTCGAGGAATATAAATTAGTAATAAGTAAGCTTATAGATTTTTTATATGAAGAAAAAATGGAAAAAATTTAGTTTGTAAGTGATATGTGAAAAATAAAAAAAATAAATTTAAAGTACAAATATGCTACCTCAGGATTCAACTTAGTCACTCGACAACCTATCTCCTCTGTAGTATTTTTAAATATTCCAAATAATTAAAGTTGGACAGATATTTATAGATATAATTCTTTTAATGCTGGCACTGGATGTTACGTGGATCAATTTTATAGAAGTGTAAATAAATAATTCTGAGTTGGAATTTGGTAATTCTACGAAGCACGTTCATTTGAATCTCTGCAAGGTAGTGAGTGCTGTCAACTCAGTTATCTTGCTGTTGCGAGCCGAGTTGGTCCCGAGAGGAACTGAGTTGATGGTCCTAATAAATATGTAGTAAGTAAGTGTTAATTAGGTTAGTTGTATTAATCTCATCGATGGTACCTCATCTCAGAGTATACACAATCCGAACGAGGTCGGCCCCGAGTCATCTCTTAACGTAATCTAATTGTACCTTCCTTCACTCTCCGGAGTATAAAATATTTTTCTTTTTATCCATAATTTTATTATTATTACTTTTCCCAGTTACTCTTTTGTGTTGCATAGATGTTACTATGTTTTAAGGCGATAAAAATCGAAAATTATTGTTTGTTAGGTTTCTGAGAATTAAAAAAATGTAACAAAATTATTTTTTCTGTTTATTTATTTTTTTCCTTTTTTATATCCTTTATTTCTTTTCGTTTTCGTGTTCTTTTTTTTTTAAGTTTTTATCTTTGACAAGTTACACCCGTCCATCGTGTTTAATGTTTATTATTAAATATTTAAGTACATTATTTAAGGAATTGAAGTTTAAGTACCTAATATTCATAAATTAATAGTTGCACTTAACTGAACAGGAAATATTTAAGTAATCATTAAATGTTTTTATATTTTAAGGGTGCACTTGCATGAATCGTTCGCGAGTCGATTCATTTCTACGAATTTGGTAATGAAAAAAAAAATTAATGTTCTCTCGCATTTAATGTTATGTAAGTGTACATTAAAGTGGTAAATAATTATGCTCACTATCTGATTCACTAGTTTAATACATGAAATACTCGGATTGTATTAAATGATTATCGAATTATCGAACGAACACGACATTTCGAGTGCGAAACTGTATGGAGTTTAAATCATTGTTACATTTACATTACAGTTCCATTATATCAAATGGTCTTACTGGCTCTAAAGTTAAGGAGAAATGTATGTTAAATTTGATGTTACTCTCGATACGGCAACGTCCAATGAAATATTATTATGGTCATTCCATGACTGTAAATACAGCATGTCATAAATTATACATGTCTAACTTAAATCTCGTTAAGTTCAGATGAAATAAGTCTCGGTGTCACTTATGCTATGTTCTTGGTGTCATCTCTGTGTAAGTGTTACACGAAATACGAAAAAAAACATCAAAAAAAAAAAAATAATAATAATAATATAAGGAATACAACGAGCACTTTCTACATGAACTAAAGTACAAATTTCTGAAGTCTTAAAGAGTTACTGCCAGTACAAATTAATTAAAGAAATGAAATGAAATTATCGGTTTTTATGTGTAAATGTTGCCAAAATTATATTTTTTGGGGCATCCGTAAATTTATAATTTAGTGTAGGTTATTCATGGAGAGTACAAAAATTGGATGAGATATAACAAATTTAATAGGGCAGCCCGCGATAATTGGATTGGTCTAGGGCGTTCTATGAACGGGCGCAATCAATTTAGTCGTTGTAACATACTGTATAATGTAATGGGAATCCCACTCTGTTACATCTGAGCTACGGGGCAAAGAGACGCATTGGTGCAACGTTTTGATATTACAAAATCGTTTTTGGTCGATACCTATTGATTGCTTGCGTTTTTTCTATATAGTATTGAACACTATTTGAATTGATATAAATTACGCTCTAGTATGTTGCACAACTAAAGTTGTCGCTTAAAATATGTTTATATTATAACATTGTATTTATTTCACGCGAGGGTGATAGGTTTACATCTGAGTGTGTCATATTAAGATGATAATGTTAGAATGGTGACTTAGAATCGATTGTAAAATTGTATAAACCAGCATGGTTGTAAAACTAAGTAAGTAGGGTTTTGTACGTAGAGAAATAATAATGCTTATAAGAAAATAATTCGGTCGATTCGGTGGTCTATGTCTGTAAAGGGAAAGTGATTGTCTGTGATTTTTTTAAGCGACTTTTTTATATATATGGAAGAAAATATAAATTCCTTAACAGTAAGAATAGCACTACTTGTGATTTACATTAGATATTTTATTAGTTGACTTCATTTTTTGTACTAATTATATACTATATATGGAAGTAGTAGCAAGTGGAGTAGAAGTGATTGACGCGGGTTGGATGTATATAAAGTAATGTATAAACTAAAATATGGAATAAAAGGCAGGCCGGCGTGAACTGCGCCGGAGGATATTGGCAAATGGTTAGACCACATGCTTGTTTATCTTTTTTTAATAGCCGCGGTGCCTCTTATAGTCGAATGTAAGACTCCATACGAATTAGTGGCACGCCGAGGCACACGTGGCTTATTTCTATATTAGATAATTAATTTATGCGTCAATGTGAACGGTAATAATTTTACCTCATCCTAGCGAATTTTTTAGAGTGGTAACATTTTGGCGTTTTTTGTTAGTTATGTGGTGATTGTAGTTAACTGTTATGTTTGCTGTGAGTACAGCCTCACTAGACGAGTGGCAAACGAATTTAATGGTAGATAAACATGGCGTTATCTACGAGAAAGAACAGGACGTCAGATATCGCTATCCCGTTCTGTCTCGTGCACGTGGTGACGAGAACGTATCTACCGGTAGATTCGTTTGCCACTTGTCTTAGTAGGTAAGAAGCTGAAGGTTGATAAAGTGTGCCGTTTGTCTTATGAAGATAAAATTAATGAACATCAGCTAACCTAGATCGCAGGGCGCCGTATACGACTTTAAAGAGACGTCAAATTTCAGTCATATTAAGGACCTTGAATGACTAAATAGTGACGTTTTTCAAAATGCATACGTCACCCAGCCATCTGGGGCCAGCCCTTCTAGACAAGTGGCAAACGAATCTATCGAAAAGATTATTCTAGTGCTCGTATGAGAGAGAATAAGACTCCAGATATCGCTATTTCATTCTATCTCATTGACAAGTTAGTGATAACGGTTCTATTGATAGATTTGTTTGCAGCTTTTCTAAAGAGGCGGGTAGTGCGTAATCGAAGTGACGCTGTAATCAGGGGGCATTCTCCATTACATATTTTATATAGTAAATTTTTCTTGTGCTCAAGATGTTTATTTCATTTTTATCTTCGTCAAGGTAAAAGGATACGAACTTTAGAATGAACTTAAGCTTCTATTTAAAACAACTTTTGAATACATACGTTTATGTTAAAGTGAACATAAATTTATATATACAATTTTACTAAACAAACAAAAATAGGTACAAATCTATTTATTATATACATAATACATAATAATGAAAGACATACAAATATAAGTACATTAAATCTACAAAATTATAAAAATGTATTCGAAAGCTGTTTTGAAATAAGTCAATGTAATAATTCTGTTATTATTGAATTCTGCAAACAAAAGATTTAAAAGAAAATGTCCAATTACACATCAATTACTACAAATAATTAATAAACAAACATACAGTTGAAAACCACGTCACATACCCACAATCTGATCTGACTTATGTCTAGATTATTACTGAAGACAAATTTGTTCCATTGTGGAATTCTTAATAAAAAAAAATGTTGCTAAAATATACGCCGTTGTTTTATTTGTATTTTCTTTATTATTTACCTATATTAATTATCTATATACCAGAGGGAGATTTTGTATAAAAGTCGATTGCTTAGGTACCTCTGTCCCATTCGTGTTTCAACCGTGAAGCAGTTGTGTTGGCATGGCTGTGTTTCGTTTTGAAGGGTGGGATGTGGCATGAATTTACTGGGTACAGAGGAATAACACCTGAGTCCTCAGGAATGGCAACGCATGGGGGTATCATGGGCGAAACAGTATACTCTGTTATGTCCATGGTACTGTTCATGTCTATAGACAACGGTTACCACTTTCCATCAGGTGGGCCGTCAGCTGGTTGTATAAAAAATATCTATACGGAAATATATTACGACGAACGTTATTATCAAAGCTAGTAGTGAATCAAAGAACAATGGAGAGAAAGATAGTAGGCGTTATTCAGAAGGACAAAGGAACAAAGAAGTAGGTTAGAAGCAGTTATGGAAATTATGGATGCATTTAGTTTATTATCATATAGTCAAATTATTATTTTATTCACAGTAATATCACCAGGGACATATGATAAAAGTGATTTTCGCTTGCAATGAATTCGTCGTATTGGTTAATATTTGTTATTGAAAGTTAAATATTAATTAACATTTTTATGACAAGAGCGAGCGAATATAGACTTTAACGTTTTTGTTCGCTCAGTCGGTAGTCTGCTGCGGAGGAGTGTAAATTGCAGAGACGATCTTAAAGGCTTAGGACCGTACCTTGTGGTAGTATATTGTGAATATTTGGATAACGACATGATTTATATAAGTCTGCATGGATAAGTACCTAGTTATGGGACAAAAAGGGAAGACTTCAAAACTCTGCCTCGTCAGTGCTGTGAAGCAGCTATGTTTGCATGACTGTACTTTGGTGTGAAGCGTGGGACAGGGACCGAAGGCATAACAACTTATTCTTCAGAATCGGTAACGTTTGAAGGGTACCATGGGCATTGGATTGTATTTTGCGATATCTGTGGTGCTGTTCATTTCTATAGGCGACGGTCACCGCTTTCTACTAGGTGAGCTGTCAGCTTGTTTGCTATTTGAGGTATCATAAAAAAGTCTGCTAAATGTTATTTTATACCTAAATAGAATTGATTCGTTGACTTAGTGGCAACCTTTACGTTTTTAATACTTTAATTATATAAATTAAATACAATATAACTACAATTTTCTTAATTTTTCAAAAACTTAATTTACGTTACTTTAGAAAACATACAAGCAAAAATGTCGTTGTGTGATTTACTACAATGTTACAAAGACGTCATGAATAAGGGGTTTTATCGAATCCAAAACTAGTCAGACAATACCAAAGATATAATATATAAAAAAATTTATATTAATAGATACCTTATTATTAGGTAGGCTATTTGACATCATAATATTTTGATATATCTATGTCATGCCTAAGTATACTTGATCTATAGTTTTTATTCCTTAGATTATATAGATAGAGCATTGAGCCTCAAAAACGGGTCAAATATTTGTCAGCTAATTGTCAATTTACTTGACTCGTTTTTTTAATCACTATTCTATATACTTTAGCATAAAATGCATCTTGTCATATTATTTAATAAATAAAATGAATATTTACGCATTAAAAAGATGCAGAAATTATAAGACAGAATAAATATAAAAGTTATAAAGGAATCACTCATAACTATTTATCACGCAAAATTGTATGAAGAAGTTGACCCGTTTTTCTCGAAGCATTTTTATGGCGACAATCTTACATAGATTATAAGGTAAGTTTTATTCCATTGTCAGTTGCTACTGTCGTTGTTAAAAACTGTATGTCATATCGGTTTACGATTCGTGTGGTTTCCTGTTCTTTTGAGATTAAGAACAAGGAATAATAAGATTAATATCATTAAATGTGATTATTGCAAAAATGTTTTTTTTTTTTAATAAAATATTATCGTAATAGTTATATAAATATTATCTTGATATGACAAAACTTATTGAGAAAAGGTATATTCAACATAGAATTCTACTCAGTACATAATTAATTCAGTACAATAAAGATTTGATTTCTTGATATTAATTTTATTAACTTACAATTTTTAAATCTGTCGATGCACTTGGCAAAATTTGAGCATTATAAGCGTATACATTAACATATGTGTGTGTGTCCCGGCATAAAATAGGCCACTCCTTCCTTTCCCGAGTGTGTCGTAAAATCCAACTAAGGGAGGGCGCGGAATGGGTAGCAGCATCCCTCTTAAAACATCTCTAAAGCCTGACTGCTGTTACCAATCCACCAGCAAAGCGTGGCAACTATTGGAAAAACTCTCCAAGGGGGGGCTTATGATCAGTAGTGGACTGTTAAAGGGTGATATAATAATGATGATATTCACCACGATAGTAACTACCCTCTTTAAAAATACAGTCGTAATATGTTTCAATTGAATTCTAAAAGAAAGAAGTTCTCAATTCGGTTAATTTTTTTTTATGTTTGTCATTTCATAACTTCGTTAGTCGTTAACCTATTTGAAGAATTCTTATTTTATCTGAAAGGATATAGGTACTTACAGATTGATCTTATAGAAATTTTATCAAAATTGATTCAGTAATTGGGTTTTTAAATCGAACTAATTATGCCACAATCGAATTCGGCCTGTTTGAATTAAAGCATTTGGCATTTCATTGTTTCTGTCAACCCTTATGGGAGACAGGCGTGACAGATATGTATGTATGTATTGAAGTTTGTTTTTTTTATGAAACACAATTGTAAATTATTACTTTTTAACTTATTTCAAAATAGAAGAATTTATCAATTTGTTCCTTTATATTTTATTGCATTATTTAAAAAAAAAAAAATATCAAAGATGAACCAACAACTAAAATTTTCATTATAGAAAACAACAGCAAAAATAAAAGCTGATTACAGATTTTCACAAATAAAACCAAATTCAAACTAAATGCATACAACATCGCTAATACATACAATCAACTGAACTAAACTTGAAGGTAGGCAGTTGTGCAAAATAATATGTTGAAATTACGAGTTTAAAGATGAATTGTCAAAGAATCACTAACTCACCACACGTCTCGCCGATTCAGTCTTAGAATCAAATAAATTTAAACCGATATCTCTAGATATTTTATTAAAGTTATTACCTACATAATATCAATTGATTTATAGGTATGATTAATTATTTTTATATTCGTATTGATATATATATATATATATATATATATATATATATATATATATATATATATATATATATATATATATATATATATATATATATATATATATATATATATATATATTGATACGTACATATAAATCATACATGATTAGTGTGATTCGAAATACAATCTGTTCTGGTATTAGTTCCATATTAATTTAGTAATGAAAAAGTTGTTTATTTTGAGGGAAAGTTAATAATATAAAATAATTAATATAAAAGCGTTTAAATGAAAACCTAAGTACAGATACTTTTGTTATCTAATATCTAAGCTATCGATAACCTATTACGATAACTATGCTTTAATATTTTCTATCCATATTATGTTCTAATTTATCCATTAAATTATTAGATATAATTTATGTCCAATTGTATGCTAATGATTTATTTTTTATTTAAATATCAACTACAAACTGACCTTCTCTTTTTTGTCAGTTTTGGATAAAATTTTTGGGTATATGGGTATTTCAATTTTTACGTTTAGTGAAATTTTTAATTATAGTAGAGTTATGACTTCATAGCGAAATAATTATCAAAAAATAACTCTAGATATAGGTCTAATAATTTAATTGAAGGGATCTCGAAACTATCTAGATACTTTGCCTAACCAAACATACGATGGAAGAAAACATAAAAATAAAAAATAACTAATAGAAATGTTTTTTTTTGGTTCGATAATGCGTACGCAATATACAACATCTATTAAAGTTATACGGAAATCGAATATAAACCATATATTTAAATTTCGAAAAAAAATTCTAAATTTAAATTTAGGATTAGAGTAGTTAAAATGTTATAGTAATTAATTAAATCTATATTAGAGTAAAAAACTTCTTTAAAATAGTTTTTTTTTACTCTAATAGCAGGCAATTACCGGCTCAAATTCCACATTTGTCATTAATTCATAAAACTTCAAAGTAATGGCGACAAGTATGCTCGATTTATTGCAATCAGTCTACATGAGCCGACCTATTTTCAAGTTCGACTAGTGACCGCAGTTGCTCATATATGATTATGACTGGACCTTACTATATAAGAGCACCTTCCTCGTATGTGCTTCATTCTTTGTGTGTACTATCCCAAGATCAGAAATGGCAGCTAAGGTAGGAATCGCTTTCGCTAATATAATAATTATAAAATACTATTATTTTGTAGATAAAATACTTATACCAAAAAAGAATTACGGCTGACCTTTTTTTATCAGTCATAGGGGGAGGTTTTTATCAATTTATATTATTTTTTATTTGAATGTTACACGAGAATTCTGCTTATTCTGTATATATTTCACTTATTCTTTTTTTTTTAAGTTTATTTTTAACGAAGTCTATTTATATGTATAACGGGAATTTTATGAACTTACTATGTTTGTCGTTTCTGATAATTACTTCAACTACATCGGGAAGTCCTCTTTAGGGGGATTATGGTGCTTTGAATCACAGCGTCTCATCTCGCTGTATAATTAATTGACAAATACAGTAAATTCATAAATTTCCCCTAAAACATATATGTAAACATAGATCGTACTTCTCATTCAATTTTTTTGTTATTGAAAGGATTTATTTTAGGGATAATTCGTACTTATTTTTTCGGAATTGAAATTAATTTGCATAACAATATATTAAATAACAATTGTTATTATTATTTAAAAATGTCTAACATTCATATAAATATATGTACATAATATGACATGCGAATTAAATGTTGACGTTTAATACTTAATATCGACTCATTCATTGTTGGCTTTTAAATAATATCAACCAGATTATATCTACAGGAAAACTAAATATTTCTCACGCAGTTTTTTAGGCTATCCGTATTGCTCGTATTGTCGACTGATTTAATTATATTTTCCAGTTGGTGGTAGTGCTCGCAGCCGTGGTGGCGGTGGCCCACAGCTCAGTGGTGCCAGTAGCCCGAGCAGACGCCGACTACACCAGCTTCGCGTACGACGTCGCGGACCCCAACACCGGCGACTACAAGAGCCAGGTGGAGACCCGCGTCGGCGGCAACGTGCAAGGACAATACTCGCTGCTCGACGCCGACGGCACCAGGCGCACTGTTGACTATGCCGCCGACGACGTCAACGGATTCAACGCCGTCGTGCGCAAAGACCCCGCTGTTGTCGCTGCACCTGTAGTCGCCGCTGCGCCCGCAGTAGCCGCTGTGCCCGCTGTGGTTGCCGCCCGCACTATCGCCGCTCCTGCTGTGGTTGCCGCCCGCACTATCGCTAGCCCTGCTGTGGTTGCCGCTGCTGCTCCAGGCGTGATCGCTCGTACTTATTCCGCTCCTTCTCTATATTCTGCTCCTTTAGCCTACTCTTCTCCAATTTCTTACTGGTAAATTGCATAACATTCCACGTTGTAAATACTGTTGTATAGTTATGAACGTAAGTTTACAATTAAAGTGAAACTACCAAAATTACTTTTATTTTATTTATTTACTCATAATGATGATAACCTTTCTCAAGAATTGAGCTATTAAATGCGGAATATATTTTTTAAATCCAACTGGTAGGTCCAGAGATTAGCGGGTCCAAACAAATAAACTCTTCTGCTTTGCTGTAATAATATAGATATACAATATAATGGAAACTATGTTAACTAACTATATTATATACATAAGGCAAGACTTATGTGTATAATAAATAAAGTAAATATTATTATCGAAGCACTAGAAATATAACAATGTTTCAAACTGGCATATATTTTTAAAATATCAAAGTAATTTTTCTTGTATAAATGCGTTAAATAGTTAGATTTTTTAATTAACAAATAATGATAGAATGAAAACTCTTTAAGTATTACATAAGTTAACAATATGTAAGCAAAATAATAATGAATCGCATTTATAAAGGAAACCCTAATCACATTCATTTATAAGTATTTATTCGTACTTTATATACAAATATTTATATATATTTTTTTCTTTTTTTTTATACAACTTAGAATGGCACACAAGCTGACGGTCCACCTGATGGAATGTGGTAACCGTCGCCTATAGACATGTGCAGTACCATGGACATAACAGAGTATAATGTTTCGCCCATAATACCCCCATGTGTTGCCATTCCTGAGGACTCAGGTGTTATTCCTCTGTATTCAGTAATTTCACGCCATATCCTACCCTTCTAATCGAAACGTATACAAGCACAACTGCTTCACGGTTATAAAGATAAAAATACCTTTTTATATTACTTGTATTCGGTGTGCGTACTTGCATAACTAGCTCGTACTTGACTAGTTCTTGAAATTAGAATTGCTACTATATTTCCGTTCACATTGAAATGTCTAGAATTAAAGATTTGCATATAAGTAAGTATTATTATTATCAATACTTTGATATAAAATTAAGAAAATTGGAACATTGCAATGATTTTATTGTAATTAATCTTATAATATTTTGTGTAGTATGTGGATGTTATTTGGAATCAATTTATTTAAAAAATAGACAATAATACTACAATACAATTTTAGCATAGTGGAGGGATATTATTAGTAATGGGGACTCTAATCCCATCCTAGTAATACACCCTATTAGGTCGACTTAACCGCAATCCCTACTTGAATTCATCGTGATTAATTCCTATTGAATTCATCACAATGGGTTATCTGACCTGATTTTACCTTCATCGTTTCATTTTTTATTGGCGCACAGCCATTGTATGCCGTTAGCATAGGCATGTGCGGAGTGTATAATTCCGTTTTCACACATTAAAAAAAAAAAAAACAAAACAAAACACAATTTTAGCGTAGGTACACCTATCGTTTCGCCATACCAAACGGACTTAGGTTACATTTTATACCAGACAAACTAATACGTTCCAGTCATGCGGACAAAGTCTGATTAAAAAATATATTGAAATTTAATGAGTAGGGTAGCATAGTTGAAATAGTATACTATATTATGTCCACGGTACAGTTCATATCTATAGGTGACGGTTACCATTTTCCATCAAGTGGGCAGTCAGCTTGTGTGCCAATCTAAGTCGCGTAAAAAAAATTTACAATGACGAACCTTTTTTTGTAAAATAAAAAGAATTATTTATTATATAAAAAATCCGTAAATAACTATAAATATGCAAGGAAACTGTATTGTAAACATTAATACATAATATTGCAAGCAGGTTGATGACTCAGATGTTACAGATGTTAAGCTCAATGTCATGAAATGGTAGTGGGTTGAGCCCACTCGGAGATAGCCTATAACATTGTAATGAACAATTCGTAATAGGATATGCTTCACTTATTTGGTAGCGGATAATGATCTTAATACCTGCCTAACATTTCATATTGAGAGCACGTTCCATTTTGCGTTCTATCTACTTACTTATATTGCAAAGCACGACTTTATAATTTTGAACCTGCCATTTTGTCCACGAGTACTGTCTTAAAATAAAATGGGTACTTAGAGTTTTCCTATTTTTAGATATTATTCAAATGTACAGGTATAATTATGATGTAATGTGGAGCCAATTACAAATACCAGAGGGAGACTTTGTAAAAAGTCGTTTGTTTGGGCACCTCTGTCCCATTTGTGTTTCTACTGTAAAGCAGTTGTGTTTGCATGGCTGTGTTTTGGTTTAAAAAGTGGAATATGGTAATGAATCTACAGGATACAGAGGAAAAACAACGGAGTCTTCAGGAATGACAACGCATGGGGGGTATTATGGGCGAAACAGTATACTCTGTTATGTCCATGGTACTCGTTATGTACATGTACATGTTCTTGTCTATAGGCGACGTTTATCACTTTCTATCAGGTGAGCTGTCAGCTTGTTTGCCATTCTAAGTAGCATAAAAGAAAATTCTTAGACATATTATCTATTAAGCAGTATAACATTTGGAAATATTTATATGATTTTTTTTATACTTATCTATTTCACATACTGCTCTAATTGAATATATTGAATACTAATTACATACACTCAGACAAGCAGTCAAAATATGAAAAAAATATTATTTCGACTTCTATTAATCTTATTAATACCCCATATATAATTTTTTCTTAATATCTCCCATGTACAAATATCGTCTATTTTCAATTTTATAGGAATTTAGAAAAAATAAACAAAGGCGTAAAAATATTTAAATGTAAGAAATTGTTAATCAAGGAAAAGACTACTTGATTTAAAAAAAATATTGAAAGTGCATATAAAATTCTACACCACTTCTACGGAGATACTATACTACTTCTAATAGTCGGAAATAGATGTAATAAGAAGGTAATTATAAAATGATATGAATAAAGAGTAAATGAGAGACAAAAATATTTTTAAATTAGTTTGTATTTACACATTTAAATGTTTTATATGAAATTTTGTAAATTGAACACATAAGCAACAACAAATATTTATATGACTTATTTGTTATATATTATATTTATATAATAATAATAGTCTATTTTCATTACTCGATTTACCAATAAGAAGCAATAGGTGCTGAGTAGCCGTAATACGGTGAAGCAAGACTACGGGCAGCTACTACCGCGGGACTGGCAGCAACTGAGTTGTAGATTGAAGGACCGGCGTAGACAGAGGGAGCAGCATATGTACGTGCGGCTACTACAGAAGGAGCCGCGACCACGGCGGGAGCGGCGACGGTTCGTGCTGCAACGACAGCGGGAGCGGCGATAGTGCGGGCGGCAACCACAGCAGGCGCAGCGGCTACTGCGGGCGCAGCGGCTACTGCGGGCGCAGCGGCTACTGCGGGCGCAGCGGCTACTGCGGGCGCAGCGGCGACTACGGGCGCAGCGACAACAGCGGGTTCTTTGCGCACGATGGCGTTGAAGCCGTTGACGTCATCGGCTGCGTAGTCAACAGTGCGCCTGGTTCCGTCAGCGTCGAGCAGCGAGTACTGTCCCTGCACGTTGCTGCCGACGCGGGTCTCCACTTGCCTCTTGTAGTCGCCGGTGTTGGGGTCCGCGATGTCGTACGCGAAGCTCGTGTAGTCGGTATCTGCTCGGGCTACTGGCACCACTGAGCTGTGGGCCACGGCCACCATGGCTGCGAGCACTATAACCAACTGAAAAATTATAAAAAATTAATTAAGATAAGAGAAACTTCATTTTGCAATATGATATTATTGTTAAATTTTCTTTTAATCACGAGCTATTAACAATATTGTTAAGAATGATGAGAAACTTGCTGTATAATTTTAGATACCATTTTGAACTATATATTTAATTTAATCTATTTTATAGCAGGTAATTCACCTTAGCTGCCATTGCGACTAGACTAGAAGATTTCCTCTCGTCAAATGAATACAGATGCTGCGTAAGAGGAGCTTTTATATGAATACAAGGTGCCAAAAGTAAGGGTGTAGCTTGTGCACGGTCACTTAGTGGTCTTTAAAAATGCGATACTCGCACGTGGTATTGCACGATAAGGATCCGGAAACGCAAGGTCGTCTATACATCTGGATACAGTACGCGAGGAAAGAATTATAATGTAGTTGAACAGGTAATCGAATATATAACATCCGTAGATACAATTTATATACTTTAATTACTTATTTATTATATTTAACAAATAAGTTTAATTAAAATTAAATAAAATAATATTTTAATTATATTAAATAAACAGTTAAATTTAATAATAATAACAGATTCCCAATTCGCTCCTTTAGGAATCACTATATGTAAAAAATAATAAAATTTTATTATTGGACACTTTCTGAATATTTTATTGCCATTCTGAGAAACCCGACAAATTTACAAGTCAATATTATAATATATCGGAGTCCGCTCATGACACCGTTGAGTACAGTCAATGTTAGTGGAAATGGAGCCTGTTTTCTTAGCGTTATTCTTCTAAACGGAACATGGAAAATGTCCCTTCGACGTGCTTGAGCATAATTAGAAGGCATCCTAATGAATATCGATGCCATGATGCTCTGATTATATTTATACCTTTTAAACACTTTTAAAATATATTCAATTAAAGTTAATTTCCATATTACTTCAAGTGAGTGATAATGTTTTAAGAAAAACGCTGCTGTTTATCTTTCGACCACTGATATCCCTTAGTCGCCTCTTACGACCCATGGGTAATGAAGAAGTAGCCTATTCTATGCTAACACAACACAGCAATAAGATCTTAAGTAGTTTAAATACCTAATATTTGCAACATTTTTTACGGTTTATTTTCGTCTAACGTTATGTTTTTTTTTTTATGTTCTACCACTACTTACGGCCGAAAAAAATTTAATTTCGCAATAACATTTTCTAAGTAGTAATTGATACATATTAATGCTAATTGATTAATTATTTATATTGATTTTATGTATCTAAATCAATGCCATATACGTAATGGACAAATATTTTTTATTAGGCATTCGTGTTTTAATTAAATCTAACAACAATTATATACAATAAATACAAATTTATTCCGCAAAAAAAAAAGACCGTCAATTATGTTAAAACGACTGATAAAAGGCGATATGTTTTATAAATGTTTTAGATTGGTTTTATAAAACTTAAAATGCCAATAAGATGACGACGCGCCTGGTGGAAAGGGAACGTCGCTTATAAACGTGAAGAGCACCATGAATATCACAGTGATTTCCATGGTACCCCTTTTGGGTTATCATTCTTGAGGACTATGGTGTTATGCCTCTGTATCCTTTACTACCATATCTCATATTTTAAGTATGCAAAAACTACTGCTTCACGGCAAAAACACGAATGGGAGAGAGGAACCCAAACAAATGACTTTTGCACAGTGTCCCATTGGTAGTTAATTTTAATATATAATAATTAAGGAAATTAAATTAAATATATAAATATGTATTTAAAATGGAGAATAGTATGTTTACAAGTTAGTTTTACTTTATAATCAGTAGAGTTATGTTTCCCAAAGAAAACAGTGACTTCAATTGGTATAAAAGTAATATAAAATATGTGGACTTATTCTAAACAATTGATCCGCGATTTTGTCCTCGTGAACGGGATATCTTCACTGATCAGGATAAATAGAAGCCACCGTCGTTCTTCATCTAATATGTATAGTACTTGTTTATCTAATTTCATAGTGATTGATTAAGCTGTTAAGGCGCCAAGAGATATGCCAAGTTGCGTCTTTCGAATAATATATGTCACTATTTCGAATATTCCACTTACTTGTATGACAAATAATCAATAAAATAAGGATTCTAAATTTAAATAAACAGCCTTATAATATAAGGTACATATATAACCTACCAGTAAAATGTTCACTGCTTTTCATCCTCAGGAAGTCCTAAGAGGCGATTAAGGGCTTTATGCACAATACATCATTGTAAGAATGGGAAGAAAAAATTGATACACCTCTTCTAGGAAGATACCCGTGGGCAGCAATGGGATATTAATGGGTTTTATGGTAGGTATGATAGTCCTCATAATTTTATATCAATTTTTCAAATATAGATATGGCAATAAATATTCTGCAGGAACAATGATTTTGTAACTTTTGAATTTAAAGTTTTCTTTGGATATATTGTCTGTATTCATATTTTTACACAATTTGTTACTAGTGTATGTATTTTTTAATATTATAAATATAAAAGCGATTTGACTGTCTTATTAATTATTATTAATAAATAAAAAAAATCGAATTGATTTAGATTACATAGCTGTAATAATTTTGATTTGAAGGATTTAAACCATACTTATTTACTTGTATTCTCTGTATTTAAACATCTAATTTATATGATTATATAAAAATTATAAAAATAAATTGTATTAATTATAGTAATGTAATTTATTAATAAATTAAACATTTATTATTGGTATTTATCTAAACATTTATGTTTTATATATGAAGATAAAAATATACAAAAATAATAAAAGACTGTAAAAGAGTTTTTGATTTTATGTTTTATTTATTTTCAGGTAACAGTACTCAACATTCGATCATTACGATATAGAACAAGTCATAGTCGATCGATAAAAGTTCCAACACTATTTACAGTTTACCAATACGACACAGGGGCAGAGTAGGATGCGTAAGGGGAAACTACAGAACGTCCAGCAATAACTGCAGGGCCGGCAGCGACTGTGTTGTAGACTGAAGGAGCGGCGTAGACAGATGGGGCAGCGTATGTACGTGCGGCGACTACAGAAGGAGCCGCCAGCACGGCGGGAACGGCGACGGTTCGTGCAGCAACCACAGCGGGAGCGGCGATAGTGCGGGCGGCAACCACAGCGGGCGCAGCGGCTACAGCGGGCGCAGCGGCGACTACGGGCGCAGCGACAACAGCGGGGTCTTTGCGCACGACGGCGTTGAATCCGTTGACGTCATCGGCGGCGTAGTCAACAGTGCGCCTGGTGCCGTCGGCGTCGAGCAGCGAGTACTGTCCCTGCACGTTGCTGCCGACGCGGGTCTCCACCTGGCTCTTGTAGTCGCCGGTGTTGGGATCCGCGACGTCGTACGCGAAGCTCGTGTAGTCGGCGTCTGCTCGGGCTACTGGCACCACTGAGCTGTGGGCCACGGCAACCACGGCTGCGAGCACTACGACCAACTGGAAAACAGAAAACGTATTTATTAATAAAATAAAGAAAATTGTTGAGTATTAGTGAAAGTTTAAGGAGAAAGTTTTGTAGTTAACCCTTTTATATTTTTAAATTTGGTTCAGTTAAATTGCTACATTATTAATGAATTAATAATAGTAAAATTCACTAAATTTTTCTTGTTTAAAAAGATGAAATATGTTAAAGATATGCTGTTAAAGATGTATATACTGTGTTAGATGTACGAAATTATGAATTAATTAATTTAAATCAACTTTATTTAATAATTAGCAGAATAGAATAGAATTAGAATAGTCAGTAATAGTTACCAGAAAAAAAAAAATTGTTAAAACAGAAAATACAAAAATATTACATATAAAAAGTGTTTCATACTAGTCAAAAGGAACTGACTCAGCTAATGCTGTGAGTGTCACAGTGCAATTTATACAGTTGCATAACGCTGGTTTACAGCCAGTCCCTCTCTTAACAAAATATAACAAAGATACAAACAGGTACAAGTGCAACTGCATGTTACTATTTTAAACAGTAATCATAAATAAATCAATTAAATTAATAAAATTTAGACAACGACGAATTAATTATAGAATTGAGAATTAAAAGCATTGTAAGTAATCTAGACTATCACAAATTAAATTCGCGTTATCACAGATAAAAAAAATTTGATTACCTTAGCTGCCATTGCGTCGAGATTATAGGATATTCACTCGTTAAATGATAATGTTGGCAGAGTCCGAGTAACTTTTATATGAGCTTACAAACGTGAGGGCGTGGCACGGTTTGCGTATGGTTACTGGTTGAACTTTATAAATCGAGTAAGTACTGATTGTAAGCACAGGGATGCGGAAGCGCAAGGTCGTTTGTTCGAATGGTTATTAATATAAACGTACATAGAATTAACTGTTTAGAGACTAGATTGACTATTAGCTTAATCATATAATTATTATAATTGACTTCTTATAAACCATTATATTTAGGTCTTATGATAAGTTCTGTAATACTAGAGGTATGTGATACACCATAGACTAAAGTAAATTGGTAATGTTTCTCCAATATTAGAGGCATTTTGAGGGCATTGTCGATATAAAAGATTTTTCATGATTTTTTTAAACTACTTACAGTTTTAGTGTTTCGAAAAAATATCTACTGTAACCACAGGTACTATCTCAAATTTAGGATCTATATAATTTACGGTTGTCTATTCTTTATATCATTTACAAAAACTAAACTTAAAATAGTTGTAGGTCTCATCATAATGGGTAAAGCAAATTATGAGATTTAACTCGCAATAGAATGATCATCGTATTAAGTTGTACAGAATGTAGAGTTTGTTGTTAATTGGCTTATTATATTTGCGAAAAAATTTCAAGATAATATAAGTCCTTAGTTCCTTACTAATTTCTAAAAGTCAATTAGTATGTGTTCAACCATCGCTAACTAGCTTACAGCTCCCATTCGTGTTTCAACCGTGAAGCAGCTGTGTTTGCATGGCTGTGTTTCGGTTTGAAGGGTCCCGAGTCCTCAGGAATGGCAAAGCATGGGCGGTATCATGGGCGAAACAGTATTATGTCCATGGTACTGCTCATGTCTATAGGCGACGGTTACCACTTTCCATCAGGTGGGCCGTCAGCTTGTCTGCCATTCTAAGTTGTATAAAAAAAAAAGCTGGCGCGCGGCGTTCAATACAATTTTTCTGACCATTACTTCCCATTTTATTATAATTTCGACATTTATTAGTCAATTAATGTTAAACAGTGTGTCACATACGTAAATAAACTTCATTTACTAGAACTATGTTCTATCCTTACGAATATTACAAATGTGAAAGTGAGTTTATTTGTGTCCTGGCGTCTTAACCGCTTAACATATCATTATAAAATTTGCTATACAGGTACATATAGTACCTGGATAATAGAAATATAGAAGGATTTAAGTTACGTGTTAAACAATTACATTATGATTTTACGGCTCGATTTAAGTTAACTACAATTGCTATTCAGATGAAGTCGTAAATGACTACGCTAATATTTCTGTTATACTTATAGTAACTTATATCAAAGTATCAAATAATGTAATTAATTAGTTTTATAGGGATTGTTTATATTAAAATCCTTTATATTTTTTTTTATATCTTTCATATATAAACATTCTTCAATTACAATTTTATTATTAGGATATCCATATGCTTATGCAAAATTTCGATTCGATATGATAACAAGAAGTATTTAAAAATTTGATTACAAATTGAACTGGAAAGACTGTTTGAAAAAGTTTAATAAAAGTTGTAAAAACAAGTTACAATTATACCAGTAGTTATTCGAAACTATTATACTAGTAACTATACAATACTAAACTATTGACAAATGGGCAGAGCTTGTTTTTATAACTTTATAATGTGATACTTTTGTAAAAATTTCATATTTACATGAAGTGGTTTCATCATATTTCTAGGTGTGTACAGCCAAGGGTTTTATTCTTTGGCACTACATGCTTCTGCTTCTATTCGTAGAGGAACACTTGTAATCTCAGATTCTTCAAGTGAATGATGAATAGTGAATAATCTTATGGTATATAAAAGATGGGAATTAACACTATCATTTAGGTAAACTATTGACTAAAAACCAAACGACGTGAAAGTTTAAAAGTTAACTATTTGGTTATGTAGTTTGTTGGGTTAGCACATTTTGTCTTAGATCTTGCCATTATTTTCCATCGAGTGAAGTAAGTCCACGAGCGAATCCGAAGTCTAATAAAAAATATCATAACTTCTGCAGTTTATGTTCGATCTATATGACACTTTATGGGAAGATATAAAAGCGTCACCCCATAACGGGTGTAATGAAACAACATTTACAATAATTTTATTATCTTGGAATATCGAACGTTCAGATGAATTTTTTATCACATATCATCAAAACATACGTGGAATGTCGTTAAAAAGTTATTTTTAAATGAAATCGATAATTCTTACTGGTGGTAATGATGAAGTCTTCGACAGATAGTATGAGGTCTATTCGATATAAAGAAGCTTGTTTTTTTTTTATTTTATTTGAGAAATCTTAAAAATACTATTAGATGAAAATAAAAATAAAAATATTATTAGATGAAAGAGCCAAACTCAATCCAATCCAAATTTGAAAGTCATCCAAATGGATGACTAAATGTACTGTACTACACGTAAAAGAAAAAGTTTAATTTTTTAAAGTTAAGTAAATCCTGAGGTATTTCCGGTGATGCCATTCCTCGCTTCATACTTTATTACTTACTTATTTCTTTCTAAACATGAAAGTAAGTTTGTTTGTTTGTTTTTGGTATCTTAACAGTTCAACTAGTTGTCATGAAATTTCTTATATACTTGCTTAATACTCGCGAATGAAAATCTGTAAATATTTTTAGCCAACAATCCCTTTTTTTTTAACAAAATATACTTTATTTTATTTCTCGATCTTCTGCTATTCTGGGTAAGTATTCAATAAATAGCATCTCCTAATAAATTATTCCTTTTCAGTACATCAAATATGAAATATATTTTTTGCTATGGGTTGCATTTTGAGTTTGCTGGAAGACTACTCTTGTAGAGTTATTAGTGTATACAATAAACTATAAAATAAATAAAAAATTTAAGTAGTATTTATATATTTTTTTTTATTTATACATCTTTTTTGTATATGTACAAATATTTAACAATATTTACAATCATTCGCTGTAGTTCAGAGCAAGTCGTTGTCTATAACTAAGGAGTATTAAGTTATAATCTTTGATATATCATTTACCAGGAGGACAAAGGAGCAGAGTAGGATGTGATGTAAGGAGAGGACACAGTGCGGCTAATTACAGCGGGACCAGTGGATATTGTACTGTAGACTGAAGGACCCGCGACTACTGCGGGCGCAGAAGCAGCATAGATACCGGGAGCTGCTACAGTACGAGCGGCAACTACGGCAGGGGAGGAGGCCGCGTATACAGCGGGACTCGCTACGGTACGGGCGGCGACCACGGCGGGAGCAGAGGCGGCGTATACAGAGGGAGCCGCGTAACGGGCGGCGACTACGGCAGGCGCAGAGGCGGCATATACTGAGGGAGCTGCGATGGTACGGGCGGCGACCACGGCAGGAGCAGAGGCGGCATATACAGAGGGAGCTGCGACGGTACGGGCGGCGACCACTGATGGACTAGCATAAACTGAAGGTGCGACTACAGTACGCGCGGCAACTACAGCGGGCGCGGCTGCGGAGTACACTGGAGCGGCAACAGTGCGGGCGGCAACCACAGCGGGCGCAGCGGCGACTACGGGTGCAGCGACAACAGCGGGATCCTTGCGCACGACAGCGTTGAATCCGTTGACGTCGTCGGCGGCGTAGTCAACAGTGCGCCTGGTGCCGTCGGCGTCGAGCAGCGAGTATTGTCCCTGCACGTTGCCGCCGACGCGGGTCTCCACTTGGCTCTTGTAGTCGCCTGTGTTGGGGTCAGCCACATCGTACGCGAAGCTGGTGTAGTCACTGTCTATTCCAACCACTGAACTGTGGGCGACTGCCACTAGAGCGGCGAGTACTACGATGAACTGAAAGTAATGGAAACAGTTATGTTATTTAAGTTTTTATATTAATAAAAATAACAAACTAACGGATCATCTGATAGAAAATTGTAACCGTTATTCATAGATATGCACAGCACAATAAATATTTTATATTATATATATCCTGACATTCACAGTACCCCTCAAGTGTTGCCATTCCGAAAACTAAGGTGTTATACCTAAAACGTACTTGGGAGTAATGTCTCATATGAAACAGATCAATTATCTCAGGTCATGTCTTAGTTCGATGTCCTGAATAAGAATTCGACCAATTATAGATTTTTGAGTAATCTGTTCGATTATTGATAGATTCCAATATGTTAATAAAAAAAGTTATTAGACAAATCGATCATTCACTATAACGGCAACACTAAACGCTACGCGCAATCTACGGTTATTGCGAATAGATATTTTTAATTTTATAAATATGGTAATTCTCGAGCACTCGCGTTTAATATTTGTTATGCATTAGATAGAATTAATTAATTGATCACCTTAGCTGCCATTGCGTTGGGACTACAAGATATTCACTCGGTAAATGAATACTGATGCTGTGCTCGTGGTGCTTTTATATGGGCTTCCAAACGCGAGGGCGTGGTGGCTGCGCGTACGCATGGCCACCGCCTGATCTTTAAAACGTCAATCTTGATAGACATTACTATGCAGATGAATCCTGAGACGCAAGGTCGGTCAGTAATCTGTATCTGTTGCAACAGAGAAATTATTGATCAGTTTTTAAAATTATCACATGAAGGAAGAAGCTCGTATAATAATTACTATAAATTTGAGAGGGGTTTTATATTACAGTTTCTTTTGTATTGAATATTGTTAAATATTTTCACTTCCTATAATAATGGCCTTCTGCAACATATACTAATTTAGTAGTTGCAAGTCGCTACCTAAAACATATAGTAGTGTTAATCTAGGATAGTTTTAATTCATACCTATTCTACCATTAAAAAGTGATAAGTTTCAAATACTTTTATTGTTTAAGAAAAAAAAAAACAATCATTCACAATATTCTCACATGTTCAAAGAAATGTCGGATGATAATTAGGAAATGCTAATTAGTTTTATATATACCTAGTTATAAATGCAGGATTATATAGGATTGTTCTTTATTGTGATTTTCTATACATAGTACAGTTTTAAATATTTAGATTCAAACATAGCTAGGATCTGACAGAAAACATGATCATATATGAAAATCTATAATTTTTACTAACTGACTATAATATTGACTAGGATAAAGGTAGCCTTTTTCCATCTACTGTTACTATTTGCAAATGACGATTAAGTAGGCCGTTAAGGCGTTAAAAGACGACAAAGAAACAAATTGTTATTTAGTTTCGTATTTATAACATTAATAAGGATATGATACTTTTATTTTGCCAAAGACGGAGAGAAGCTTCTTTCTGCATTAAGCAGTGGATGTAGAAAAAAAATATGTGGAATTATCAATTTTGTGCATTAATGCATCAGCTTTTTTCAAATAAATAACAAAACAATGCCTTATTATTATTATTTTTATTTTTTATTTTTTTTTTATACAACAGAATGGCAAACAAGCTGACGGCCCACCTGATGGAAAGTGGAAAGTGGTAGTAGCAGTACCATGGATATAACAAAGTATAGTGTTTCGCCCATGATATCCCCCATGCGTTGCCATTCCTGAGGACTCAGGTTTTATTCCTCCGTACCCAGTAAATTCACGCCATATCCCACCCTTCAAACCGAAACACAGCCATGCAAAAACAACTGTTTTGCGGTTGAAACACGAATGGGACAGAGGTACCCAAGCAATCGACTTTTGTACAAAGTCTCCCTCTGGTAATTACTTTAATCTAACTAGCTTTAAGTTACATTATTTTTTTAGAATAGGTGATTAGGAAATGGTAATAGACTGCACTATCAGTACACGCTGGCGGGGCACCAGTGAGGGATGATAGGGAACGATTAAAGCAGATCAGTTAGTCCATCGTGACGAATTCTATAGAATTAACCACGACGGTTTCCAGGTGGAACCGCGTGGAGGTCGACCTGATAGGGCGTATTGCTAACAACGAGACAGTTAAACCCCATTACTAACAATCCCCTTTCCTCCTGTTTTTTTTGATGGGTGAAAATGGTAAGGTAACCTCGTCTGCTCTAACGGGATACGCTGGCGGAGCACCAGTGAAGGGTGATAGATGAGAATGAAAACAGGCCAGTTAGCTCATCATGATGAATTCATCAGGAATTAACCATTATAGTTTCCAGGGAGAACCGCGAGGAGGTCGACCTGGTTGGGTATATTGCTAGCAATGGGATTCTCAGTCTCCATTACTAACAATTCCTTTTCCCCCCTTTCCTCCTGGTTATAAAGTTATAGCTTGTTAGATTGGTATAGAAGAACATAAAGCTGATTGATTAAGTTATTTGTTATATTTATATTCTTTATCTTGATGATAAAAATAGTGCAGGAGTTCTCCATTGTATATATTATATAATTTGTATTATAATATAATTTATATATTATATTACAACAATTTTTTTTCACTGCATAATTATATTTACGTCTTACCAAAGTTTGACTGGGAGAGAATGTTATATAGCATTAAGTCCGCCTTTTGTACCAAACATTTTTTGTAGTGTGGTCATAACACAATAAATAAATAAAAACCTTCAAACAAGATACGCATGACCTCGTTTAAAAAAAAAAAAAAACTGGGATATACATATATATTTTTTATCAAATTTAAAATTAAGAATAATAAAAGCATCTCTCTCTTTTAAGCATTTCTAATGTTATAAAGAAAATATGAAATTGCTAATTCACTAAATTATTGCATCAGAATTCTTCAATGAGTGTTGCAAACTTGCGTCAGCTGTTATCGATACGAGAAAGGCCGCAATTCGTACCGCGGCGTCTAAATTCGATCGCGGTAGGCTGTGCCCAGAATATACTATACTCACTGCTATTGGTTACATTGGAAACAGTACGACCATGATGCAATATTACCATAATTTTAGCTATGTGATAACAGATCCTGTAGCAATTTTTTTTTAATACAATAAGGTTAAAACTAAACAGAATATAAAGAGAGTATCAGGATCAGGTTAGGATCCTGATGCTATGTGTATCCCGGCATAAAATGGCCTATCCCTTCCTTTCTCTTCCTTTTCCTTTCCTTTCATTAAGGGAACTTAACGTTTGAAGTATGGGCAACAGCGTCCCTCTTAACATAACACTAAAAACCTAATTACAGTTGCTCACTCACCTGCTAACCGTGGCATCTACTGGCAATAACAAATCGACAATATTCACTATTCCAAATTTCAAACGGACCGACCGAATCATGCCAGTTTTTTTTTTTTACGATTTTACTATATAAATCTTTAATAAAAGGTTTTATACTAACAATGGGTTCAGTGAAATCTTAACAATGTTATTCACCTGAGTAGGTAACATAGTCTTATTTATATCTGCCGAGCCAGATATGTCATTATTTCGGCTTTAAATGGGAAATAATTGCAGTGAAATTACCGTGTACTGTGACTCAAGATCATCATATTATGACAAGAGGTGGAAACGCTTGAACGCTACTTCTAGCATGTTGCAAGCGTGCATGATTTGTGATGGATTCTAATATTATATATAATTACAGATTGTGTTTCACAAAAAAAAAATATTTCAATTGTGACAAAACCAATTATATTTTTATTTATATGGGACTAATAGATTTAAATTTATATGGAACTCTGTAAATATTTCATTTCATATAAAAAAAAAAAAGAATTTTCCATATCGGTTTCGAACTAACGGAGTTGTGAGGTAACAAATATAAATAAAAATACTCGTATTATAACCAAATCGAGAATCTCCTTTTTGAAGTCGGTTGAAAATGTCGAAATATCTAACATAATTGAAGACATGAATGGAGGTATTATGTGTAGTAATATGTGCATTGTTAGTAATACCTATATACCCAACCAGGTAGGCGGTTCTCCCTGGAAACTATCATGGTTAATTCTTGATGGATTCATCATGATGGTCTAACTGGCCTGTTTTCATTGTCATCGATCATCTTTCACTGGTGCCTCGCCAGCGTAACCCATTAGCGCAGCCGGGTTACCATTCCATTATCACCCCTAAAAAAAATACCTATAAGTATAGTATACTGTGTGCATACTAACAACTACATAGTTATACATATATAGGCCACGGCATAGAATAGATCATCCCTTCTTTTCCATTAAGTGTCGTAAGAGGCGACTGAGAGAACTTAATAGTAGAGGGATGGGCAGCAACGTACCTTTTGATTTGTTACTATGGGTATATACCTGAAAATAAAGATTATTTATTATTATTATTTATTACTAAAAGCTGACTGTGGTTACAAACCCGCCCGCCAAGCACGGCATATAGTGGCAATGCCCTCCTTTATAAGGGAGACATAGCTAGGTTCAGCATTGGACAGTTAACAGCTAACATGATAATCACCTTGTTAACATGGTAATAATAATTAGCTTATATCCATGACCTTATCTGAAGAGACTTGAATCCAGCAGTGGGAATAGGTTTTTTTTTATACAACTTAGAATGACAAACAAGCTGACGGCCCACCTGATGGAAAGTGGTAACCGTCGCCTATAGACATGAGCAGTACCATGGACATAACAGCGTATACTGTTTCGCCCATGATACCCCCCCTGCGTTGCCATTCCTGAGGACTCAGGTGTTATTCCTCTCTACCCAGTAAATTCACGCCATATCCCACCCTTCAAACCAAAACACAGCCATGCAAACACAATTGACAGATATAAAAAAGACATATGAATACATATTTATACTTCTCCATAGATATAAAGGTATAAAAAACTATTTATCTCTTTACAAAAATGATATCTTAATATTACGATTGTAAATATTTTATAAAAATTTGTAAAGTTGTTTGAATGTTCATTACTCAATCACGCTTAAATGGCTGAATGGATTCGAATGAAATTTGGTACACGGGTAGGTTATATTCTAACCTAATATATAGGATATTTTGTTTAACGACTAGCTTTTATATGTGTGTATAGACAGAGATAAAGTAGATGTAAAAAGTTACCCACCCTCTTTACAAAGTAGTTTGAGAAAAAATATGTATACTTTAATTATGAATTACCAACAATAATTTTGAATATTTTGAAGCAGATCGGTTAACGCAATAAAAAGTTTTATACAAAAATTACCCCTCCCTAATCACACCTCTTATAAGGTTCTCGTAAGAAAAAGCCTATAATCTTCTTTAGGGTCACATCTATCTCTAAATCAAAATTTATCATAATCGATTCAGTGAATTAGATATGAAAGCGTAACAAACAAACTCACTTTCTTATTTATAATATTAGTTAGAATTTATCCGTGCAAAGCTGCGGAATACAAGTAGCATGTTAACAAAGTTAAACTCATAAATATTTATGAAAACTTACCGTGTATATTTAACTTAAATGTTAAATAGGTGTATTTAATAGAGATGTAGAATTAAGATGTGAATATTGGTTAATAAGCTGCACGTAAAGGTGATTTCATAC